CCAGGGGAGAAGAAGTACAGAGAAGATGTAGTTGTACACAGGGGAGAAGAAGTACAGAGAAGATCGTAGTTGTACACCAGGGGAGAAGAAGTACAGAGAAGATGTAGTTGTACACAGGGGAGAAGAAGACAGAGAAGATGCTAGTTGTACACAGGGGAGAAGCAAGTACAGAGAAGATGTAGTTGCACACAGGGGAGAAGAAAGTACCAGAGAAAGATGTAGTTGTACACAGGGGAGAAGAAAGTACACGAGAAGATGTAGTTGTACACAAGGGAGAAGGGTGACAGAGAAGATGTTAGTTGTACACAGGGGGAGAAGAGGTTACCGAGAAGATGTAGGTTTGTACACAGGGGAGAAGAGTACAGAGAAGAAGTAGTTTACACAGGGGAGAAGAGGTACAGGAGAAGATGTAGTTGTACAACAGGGGAGAAGAGGTACAGAGAAGATGTAGGTTGTACACAGGGGAGAAGAAGTACAGAGAAGAAGTATGTACACAGGGGAGAAAGAGGTACAGAGAAGATGAAGTTGTACACAGGGGAGAAGAAGTACAGAGAGAGATGTAGTTGTACACCCAGGGAGAAGAAGTACAGACGAAGATGTAGTTGTCACAGGGAGCAGAGAAGAGAAGATGTAGTTGTACACAGGGAGAAGAAGGTACAGAGAAGATGTAGTTGTACACAGGGGAGAAGAGGTACAGAGAAAGATGTAGTTGTACACAGGGAGAAGAGGTACAGAGAAGCATGTAGTTGTACACAGGCGAGAAGAAGTACAGAGAAGATGTAGTTGTACACAGGGGAGAAGAAGTACAGAGAGAGAAGTAGTTGTACACAGGGGAGAAGAGGTACAGAGAAGCATGTAGTTGTACACAGGGAGAAGAACGTACGAGAGAAGATGTAAGGTTGTAACACCAGGAGGAGAAGAAGGTACAGAGAGAATGTAGTTGTACACAGGGGAAATAAGTACCAAGAGAAGATGTAGTTGTACACAGGGGACGACACATTTCTCTGAGACTTTCAAAGTCCTTGTTCTAAGAGAGAGAAAAACTAGGTAAAGCTATTTTTGGACGAGACTTTTTACTGTCGACTTAGTCTAAAACCGGTTGAAATACTACAGTATTGCTACAAAACAGAACACATTGGTATCGGTTAGTCGTTGGTTCCATTGGGGGGGGGGGGTGGAATACTGGACTTAGAGGAGGATCTCGTGGTAACACAAGAAACATTGGTTTAGAGAGAGCTCCCCGCCCCCTCCCCGCGAGGAATAAAAATAGATTTCATTTCTGTCTCTTAGTTGTGAAACCTTTTCAACCGCTTTGTCTCCCCTAATACCCATTACGACGTTACTAGACAAACCACAAGTCAGGTTAGTCTCTGTACAAGCGCACATATATAGACTCTGAATATTATATAACTACTTTTAGTCACATTATCCTCTGGAAATTTACTCTAAACCTCAAAGGTATTTTTGAATATTTGTTGTTCGGAACCCGTTTTTCATTATAGTAAATAGACTAGGTGAACTATTGAATAGTGGTGATATAGACAGTAACATACAAAGCTACCCGCAGTCACCTCGTATTAACCGAGGAACTACTGTACACTAAGTGTGTCAGGGAAAGACCACGTCACTCTTCCGTTGTGTATGGTCATACAAGTGACATGAAAATCTGAAAATCCTTCGTGTGTTTTGTATTTTACCACAACCTCTAACAGTTTTTCTTTTTTCGGATAAAAAATTCATCGACTGTGAAATTTCTGCCCCTGCAATAGTCACAACCAAAATATCGTGCTCTTTAGTAGTATACCTTTTTGTGGTGTAAACAATGATGTATGTTTAACTTCAACAAAGGGGTCCGTTTAGTATGTTCGTTATTGACACTCAAAAATGAAACTTCTTAGCGTAGACGAGCCAAAGTGAGACTCCGGCAAAGGAGAAAACACTCGGTGAACTTTTGTAGACACCAACTTTAGTTGACCTGGTACGGTTCAGTGTGTTTTCGCCAATGTAGTTGGGACAGAAGTGGTGCTGTCTCTCAGTGAAACAGGTAAATACAGCGAATCTTGATTAAGTGGTTGGTGACCACGTCGGTTTTCTGGGCAATCCTTAAAGCTGCTACTCAAATTTCACAAACAATTTTGTATAAGAAGTTCTAGGATGTGCCATTTTTTTCTTTTTCAAAACTGACCCGAAAGACAGACAACAGGGATTTACATAAACATAAATGTATTCTTCATATGTACTCCATTTTGAGATTCTTGACATTTACGCATTTCACACTACTTGAAGGATGGATTTGCTCCTGCATCACGCTAAACCGTAATTTTTTCTAATAGGATGTAAAGAAAGTCAACATTAATAGTTGAGTCAGAAAAAGGATTATCACCTTCGTCAATATAGTTTGTTTCCTTGGTGAGGATTTTGGACGGTAAATAACAACACATAAACAGCGGTCATGTCCCCAGCGTGAAAAACTATACTTCACGGTAATTTTTTATTACAATAGTCGCGGTTGCTCTCTAATAGTTGCCCCCCCCAACTCCTCGAACACTGCGAGCAGTTTGATGTCGTCCTCCCGCCCCCTTACAGGGCGACGACCCTTCGTCACAACACTGACAGTCGCGTTGGTGTACTACGGTTAAATTAGTTTTGTGTAAATTTATTAACCAACATTTGCCGTATTATTATTCCTGCGCTAAGCAGGCAAGACACTAAGAGAGTCATCGTGTGTACGATACTAAATCCCAGTACGTCTCACTCTACTCTAAGCGACAGTAGGAAATTCTACTCTCTCTCCCCACACCGAAACACGTACACACAAAGCACTACCACTCGCTTGTCACTCCTTGGATACCTCTCTTGCAAAATACAAAGACCTTCACTTTGCCCTTCGAGCTTTTTGTACTCCAGACAACTAATAACACTTTGTCTTCTTGTCGATTGTATTTACGTTGCAGGAGGGTTCTTCTCGAGCGGAAGGAGAGGTCAGTAAATTCGATTTCACCCAATAACTTGGACTTCAACAACGAACGACGGGAGCTGATGCCAGACCCTCGGCTGTCCTTTCAAAGTTGTGGTGTCGTACGGTC